AACGGAAAGGGGTGGGCGGAACCGGTGGAGGTTTTCATCGATATGCGATTTTGAAATAGCAGGAAGGGAATAAAAACGATTTCTTACTTCCGGGATACACCCATTTGTCAGAATTACCAGATCTCTCGAGCTCGATTTTTTTTCTGGTAAAATAAATGATTTATAATCGACTCGTTTCGTTCTAATGGCTTCAGTTTACATCAATTATCTAGAATATATTTATAATAAAATTTTACTTGAATTGTAAAAAATGGATTTTTGAATTTACGCATGTCGCGCAATTGATGGGCGATTACTATTTTTAAAATATAATAACTAATTAGAAAAATACGATTGCAAGTTCTTTCTTCATCGACTTGGTTACACTGTTGGAATGTTGGAGTTGATTTATTGTACTTCTTCACAAAGATTCTTCATGGGATTCTTCTCTCGGTGGAGAGGGTCTCGGATTAATCACATTTCCAAGTTTTCCTTTTATCTCGAGTTTGAGACGCTCGAGACACGGAACAAGAGGCCATTTCGCAATAAGATGACGGTGGCATTTTCATTTGATAAAGGGAAGGATTCTCTCCATCCCACCAGTTCATGAAAAACAATTTCGAGGATATACAAATAACAACTGGGGGAGTTGTATTTGAATGCGTGGGGAATACACTATCATATGATCATAAGCCGTGCATTCAATCCACCCCTGGCCCTTTCAACCCCTCGTCTTGGCCCTCGTCATCCCTCGTTCCCTATCCCACAACCGATCGTCAGCGGATATTAAACTTTTGGGACAAAGCGATGTCGCTTTACCACTCGGTCTAGTTTTTTTCTTTTTTTTTTTATCTCTTCCCGGACATGGGAGTCATCGTTCGGTATTATAGTGTCACTGCACGCGATTCGTGCGACCGTATATTTCATAATTTCCGTGACCAATACGCAGAAATACTGGGACTTCGATCGTTATCGGTTCTGTCCGATGTAAATCTAGTTTACAACATTCTCTCACCTCTTACTCCATTTTCATTTCTTTCTTTGTTTTTCATTTAGTATTTTTCCGTTTTCACATTTTTCCTTCGACTGTCGAATTCATTTTTCGGTTGGAATTAAGAAAAATGGAGTTTAGGGAATTTATTTGATTGAAAATCGATTGATTGGCGTTGATATCAGAAAAAATGTAAACCGACATTTTTTATCATCTCAAATCCCAATTATTTGTTAATTAAGAATAATTTATACTTCGATTCATTCCAACTCAAGACTCTCCTCCCGATGTCAACAAAATGTCCTTATAAAACAATCCCGAATAACAACCTAAATATTAATAAACAATCCTAATTTCCTTAAAAAAAAAAGTCGTTCCCCCCTAAAAAAATTCCGCGCCAACTCCTCCCTCCCTTTCTCGTCCCCGTGCGATCAAATAAAATCACAACCAGGCGAATTGTGCCTCGACATCTCCGCGAACAATTCACCCCCCATAATTAACCCATTTCCACCCCCAAAAAAAAATAATAAAAAGTGATTGAGCAGTCGTTCCCTGGAATGAGCGAAAAGACTCCCCCGGGAGCGGACTAGAATGCGAGAGGAAAGTTGTAAAAAAAAGACCAGAATCCGCGAATGGTGTGAAAATAGAGGGGGTTGTTAGGGGGTGAGAAAGAGCAATGAAATAGGGAAAAGTAGAAACTTATTTCAAATTCACCGGTGGTTTTCCCCCTCGAAACGCACGGCCGGTCCTTTCCGCATTACCTTTTTCTCCCTGTGACATTTTCTTTTCTCTCCCAACGTCTTTACCCACCCCCTCTTCTTGATTCTACCACCCCATCACCACCCACCACCCCCTGTACATCCTTTCCGCGTATTTTCCTCCGCACGAATGACTCCAGAGATTTATTTATCCCACTTATCAAGGCAACGGTTTTCGCTACACCATTTTCAAATTAAACATTTATTTTATTTTTTTCATATTCCATTGCACTCATGCCTTTTCGATTTTTCACTAGTTATTACTTCTCAATAAATTTAGCGCAAAGTAGTTAATCGATTGAGTGATTAATCAATATGATATCAGTAATTGTTCACTCGTTATTCGTTTGATTTTTATTTTAATTGCAAAATCAATTTACCGAGTTAATTAGCATTTATTTATTATTTATGATTCATTTCTTTTTCTATTTGATTTCCATCACGTGCTGTCGAATCGCTCATTAACACACAATAAAAAACATAATAATGATTTTTACCAATTGTTTATAAAAAAAATAAATGAATTCACGAGCGAGCGTGCATTATCCACCATTTTCATCTAGATTTCCACGTGCTATTGAAATACTGAACAAGTAAATAGATGAATTAAACGAGGGTATTAAATATAATTAATTAAGGATTAATGAGGAGTGATGAGATCTTAATCAAGCGGCAAGTGGAAAGGGTTGATGTATGGCATGCAGGAGTGGCATCCCCGAGGCATGAAAAATCGAGAGGAAAAGGAAAGCAGATGGGGGCAAAATAGATACATTATATATGATACGTATATATGATATATATATATATTACAGTATCATGAGGGGTGCTGTAGCTGAGGGAATGACAAAATGTTGGGAACAAGGCGGTGAGAATTTTATCCGCGCAAACTCAAACCACCTACTCCTCCTACTGGGTGGAGCTTTCATTTTGGTTTATATGCGCAATACCTGGCGGGGAACAGTTGACATTGTGCCAATACATATACCGTTATCCGTTATCTTTGCCCTCAGTTCTCAGTACGGAAACTCGCGCGACGCACCCGCGTGCGTTACGCGGCTTTTACAGCCCTCCCACCTCCCCCCCGTCGTACGATACCGACGATTATTATTTTTAGTCTACGACGTAAGGTGTGTTTTATATATTTTTATAGTCATTAATCATTTTTATTTAGATTTTAGTTATGGACATCCCTGGCGATATGTCGGGATTTTCGTTTTAGTTGTGAATTCGTGGAATGTTAGACTTTTTATTTTTTATTGTTGTATTGTTTTATTAATGGATTATTTGGTTTTAGGAATTGTTTATGGTGGGGTCGGTGGAGCTCTGGGAAACTGGAAATCGCGGAAATCGTGGGAATCGTGGGAATTCAGGAGGAATTTTTGGCATTTTTTTTTCATCTAGCGAACATTTTGGATTTGGGGAATTTATTGGATATTAATTAGGGAGGATGGACATTTGGTCATTGAGGAATTAATGGTAATTTGTTGTTGTTTAATGTGGAAAACAGAATTTTTGGGAATTTTTGAAATTAAGGGTAGTGATCGGTTTTTATTGAAATGGAATTCAAATTCGGGTAATTTTGGAGGGAAAAATTTGGAGGAGTTCGTGACGGAAATTTTGAGGGATTTTTTGAATTAATTTATTTACAATTCTCGTGCAAGGACGAATTCAGGAATTGCGAATAATTACAGAAAATCAGAATGACGTAACGTTGAGTGAAAATTGTGGGAAAAATTTCGATTTTTTTTCGATTGTGTGAATAAATCGGTGCACGTAGCGGGAAATTTTATTGAAGACTGAAGTATTTATAAAAAAATTAAACATTGCACAAAAAATTATCGACGGAGTCTGGGACATGAGACGGAACGTGAGTTATGAGGGATTTTTTTTCGCGAAATGCGATAACCGCGATTTTTACGTGACGATACAGAAAAATCAAGCAATACCCGTTTAGAAAATCAAGTCCATTTCTCAGGGAATGGCATGTCACCATTTTTGCAGAGAGATTACGTGAAAGTTCTGTCATTCGTGAGGGTATAAAAAAATTGCGCAACTGGCCGCATATTTTTCACTGGACATTTCGTAATTTTTATTAATCTTTTCCCATCGTGCGATTAATTTCTTCACGGGGTAAAATGCATTATTTTTCTATCGCCCGCAGTAATGACCAATAGGAACTAATAACTAAGGGAAATTATTTCCTAAAAAATCCCCGCAAATTTTCCAATTCCCCATTTTATTCATGCGAATATCTGGCAAACCATCGATTTTAGAAGAAAATCCGAAAAATCCTTTTTTATCGGAAATTTAATAATCTACAAAAAATTCCTCTATCATTTCCCCTATAAATCAATAGTTCGCTCGATAAATCGATGTGAAAAACGGTATTCGACGCCCCGTGTGTAAAGTGACGTTTTACACACAAGGGCGCAAATCCCTCATATTATTTTAAAAAAATCTTGTGGAATTATATTACTTTATCTAAATCAAATAAAATGATAACCCCCCAAAAACCCACTTTCCCATTAATGTTCCAATCAAGCAAATGGTGTTATTCTCCATGACAATTTCCGTGATTATTCCAGCGAATGTATTCCCCAGTTACATCTCCCGTAAAATTTCCTTTCTCCCGACCTCGGGCGAG